TTCATCCGGTATTGCAAACAAGGTTATTGTGACGAATATATATGATTCGCACCGGACGTACTACTCGCCAATATGAATAGCACCTCATTACAGTAGTAGGACTGTACTTGATAATTGGGGTATTGGTAGTGATTGGTGAGGATAGGCAGATAAAGATGGCGCAAGGAGAGCCTCCCCTTTCTCGCCGTTTGTTTCCGCCAGTGCAACGCGGAACTCCAACAGTGAATAATCGTTTGGTCATTATGACCCGAAGGGACCCCTGCACTTCCACCCCCGTACATCTCTCAGTTAGCAGATTTCCTATGTGAACAGGAGGTTTTTATCGTCTTACGCCATTCTCGTCTTCAACCATGCTGAAAAACGTCACGCAATCCCGTTTATGCCACTGCAATATATGGTTCACTTCGTGATCAAACGATGGATACCTCATTTGCTTGTGGTCTGCGGTGTCTAGGTGTTGCAAAGGCTCTCATCAAATCCGGTGTCCAATCATAAATCATTAACCAGAACAACAATATAGTCAAATTTGTTGTATTAACTATCACGCAACCTGACCTCTTTAGCTGTTGATCATTGTTGACATATAGGAAACGTTTTACTAAGAATATCCCCTTTATCTTCTTCATCGAAAAACGTTTAGCGCTTCCGACTTACCAGTTCCAAACGTCGACTACACAACGTTCTTAACTGGGAATCGTATGTGATCGATACGGCCAACAGGTTAGTTTATTTTATTGATCAGGTAATATCTTGTTGATCCTAATGTCTCCCGAATACGATCTATTTGTCCAAGTGGTTAGCACGTTCAGTTTCACATCTCACTTGCAGGACCATCATGATAATGGCCCTATCACAAATGGTTCCACAACGTTATATTTGTGCGACTTTTAATGGTTCACATCATCGGCATGATCCACATGATGCGCATCACCAGCTCACTTTCTCGATAGTGCTTGATGATGTACAACAACCTTAAACTCTTTCATTTGTTGTTCATTGTATTCTGTCAACCTACCCGGATTTAGTGCGAGGGCGTAAAGTCACATTGTGAACCTATTTAGGATGGCATCAGTCAGTTGAATCAGAATAATAGGTGCAAGGTTCAACAATCGGTAGTGTAATGTCAGCTTCGTGATAAACAGTTGTACTATCCTCGATTCAGCCTATTTTTTCATTCATGTCCCACTCCAAATCTCAGGACTTGGAAAATGGGGTAGCATAATTAAATCCTAGGTATCCACGATTGAGGTTTTTTGTTACTCACTTTCCTTACTGCATTGCGCGCTTTAGTATTGCATGGGACAAATCACCTCTGATGTATGCACGTTTTTGGTTACAGTGCGGGGGGGGGGAGTCAAGAAGAGGAATCTTGATGCAAATTCTTTGACATAGCAAATTACTACGTAAGCACTTGACTTGAACGGGACTGATTGACATGTCGGTCTATTTCGATCGTGACTAACTGTGTTTTGATCGGTTGTGTTGTTCCGTATTACACCGTTTAATAGTAACCCGCATACATTTGGGTTTGGTACGCTGTGAACATGGATACAAACAAATAGGATATTACTCGCCTTGCTGTACGCTATACGATTTCTTACTTTAAGAATATGGACAGTGACGCCCAGCTGTATACTGCTTGGCCTGTCGCCAGGGCGTAGAAAATGGTCCCCGATAAGTGGCTAGCTGTGAATAAGATATGTTCATGTCTATTTAATAAGTGGCCGTGGATGACTTGTGGTAGTTTACGAGGTCTTAGTAGGTTTTCACTTGATATATACCCTCCCAAAAAACGCTAAAAGATTTGGCTGACAGTACCGTGACAAAGTGAATGTATCTCCATTAATCAGGCCACTACTTCTCCTGATTCTCTTTTGTTTATTTACTTACCCCAACGGATTTTCAGAGGAGGCAAAAGAAATCGAACTATTATCTGTATGGCTGTATTACAGGTGGCATTTTGATATGCCAAGAGTGGAGGTTCAATCTCGATTTAAAAGATCGAACAGTATTAGAGACAACGCCTGTTATCCCTATCCCGAAAATTTTCATGTATCGTTGCGATCCTTACAGCAAGACATAGTTGCTTTTTAGTATGTACTTTCCCTGATAGTGATGATGTTTAAATGTAGAGCATTTCGTAGGTTCAAACCCCGACCCTGTCGCCCTAATCCTTCATTTATTGTTTAATCATCTTCTGCTCGATTGCGGCCTCCTTCCTGAGTAAATTTTTTGTATCTTTTTTTGTAACGCGAATAGACAAATGTAATATAATAATAAGTGTAGTATCAAGTTCAGCCCCGTTAATTGTGCGCTGATGCACAAAAACCAGAATGACGAGTGGGTCGCATATACACAATAAGAACTAAGCTTATAATTCCTACTGGCAAGCAACACGATGCATTATTTGATTACTTCACACTGGATTAATTCTACGTAGCAAGCCATTCGGATATACGTTCGCTTTTTTTAGTATTTCTGTTGTTTTCATTTAACTTCTTCCACCTCCAGTCTTTTGCAGACACGAACCTCAACGGAACTTGATGTCTCGTCTAATCACTTTCCACCCTGTTATTACTCTCGTGTAAGGAGCTATACTAAACAAGTTTCTACCCAACCGGTTTGATAAGAACTTCTCCTGGTCCCACTACAGTTCTGCGGTTCTTGTTCACCATGTGATCTGTGTACGTTCTGCTCCTGACCTCTGCTAGTTCTGAATTTCCCCTCTCACTCCCATCTCCTACCGTCTTTCGACTCATACGCCCCTTCATTCGTTCATCTTATCTCATGCTTTTACTCCTGTCTGTACTAAAATGATCGATTCGTCCTTCAGTCCCCCACACTCACTGCCTTTATCTCGACTGTACCACAACATGTTGCACATTGTATCTCAATAGCATTCACTGCCTTCCCATTCGCGTAGTCACTGATGCGCATTCTTCTTATGCGTTTCTGATTGGTCACTATAAATTCGTTTGTACGAAAGAATACAAAAACCAGAGCAACAGTAGAATCCCTTACATGTTGTTTTGTCGCATATCCATGGGTTCACCTCTTCTTCGGGATTAACAAGAACAGCTCTTCCTCCAGGGATTCTAATTATTTCGCATAAGTATTGTTCATGGGTGCGGAATTTCTAATTATTTGCGTAAAAATAGGTAATTAAGTTTCATGGGTTGTCCGAGTGTCATCGGGAAGGTGGCATATCATACCGCCAGTTACACTGGTGCATTCATCGATTCCTAAAGCTGAATATCCAACCGGTTTCACATATTATAATCGATATCCTCTTGCTGAAAGTGCAAAGGCAGCTACACTCGCTGGGATAAGCC